AATGTCTAAAACACAATTTATTAACATGTTCATATAAGATAATCCCTACATTACCTACAACTATCCATAAATGAAATGCCTAAAAAGGAAGTCATGCATTAATATAAACATAACCATTACAATGACACGAATTCTTGATAAAAGCCCATCAGTAGATTATTTGAGGCTTGAGCAGTTTACAATATTCTAAGTTTATAAATAATGATAATCCCTCCTTCATGATTAGAACTCGAAGACGCTCTTGTTTGATCAGGAAGAAATGAATTATCCTTCTCTTTCAAATAGGTTTTCACTTAATAATGTTAGGCCGTGTTCACATTGAGATAAACGCAGTGTGGTGTTAACGTAAACTAAACTCTATTACGTTTCCATTGATAAAAACATTGTTTACATTTAGTTTAAATCAGGTTTTGATTACATACAGTCGATAGTTAATGTAGGCCTTGTGTGGGTTTAGTGTACTTAAAACTAGATATTCAGAACGTGAATTTTACCATGACTATTCAATTAAAAAACACTTATAGAATAAAAATGATTATTATAATAATTATAAATAAAGTTATATATCGAATTATTTGTCCAAACTCGTAATATTGCTCTATTAGTAAAAAAAAAAAAAACATTTAGGTAGCTTTATTTACCTAATTAAAACTCAAAGCATCATCATCCACATCATTCACTTGAAAATGTCTTCCCAAATAGAGTGGACACATCCAGAAACAGGAAATTTGATAAAGTTAGGGCAACGAGACCCTGTCCAGAAACAATTCAACAGTATGCGTGGGAGGACATATCAGCACAGTTGAAAATTAAAGAGTAAAAAATGGGATAAGGAATTTGGCTCTTGATTTTAACGGTTTGAATTCAAGTACCGCTAATAAGTTAAGACAAAAACGTACATATGTCGTACTTGATCATCAATCTGATATATTTTTTTCAATTTTGTTTTGATATAGTGTGTACTAGAATTATCACGAAGTACTTATAAAATATAGTCAGTTAAGGTATAGCAAAATATAATAATTTCTGAAAATTTCAGAAATGGCTGAGGACAATATCAATGTTATACCTACCGAATTAGACTTATCACCGGGTTTGTACTTGTGTACTTGTATAAGCAACACAACGCATGCCACATGCGGAGAAGGATATGCTTACCCTTCCGTAGCACCTGAGATCACCCCAAGTTTTTGGTGGGGTTCGTGTTTCCCATTCTTTAGTTTTCTATGTTGTGTTTTGTGTACTGTTGTATGTCTTTTTGTCTTGATCTTTTTTTTTGCCATGGCGTTGTCAGTTTATTTTCGACGTATGAGTTTGAATGTTCATTTTGGTTTCTTTCGCCTGTATCTAAAGTGTCTAACATAGTCTCAACATATATAATCACAAACTTTAACAAATTGTTAACACTGCCGCCGCCGAAAACAGCATACGTTTTTTGCCTCCGTCGAAGCCAAACGGCAAAAGCGTAACATTTCAATTAAAATCACAATACAACTGAAATTCTAGCATACAGCAGCACTTGTTTGCATGTCGCCATTTACCAAATTTTATATTGTAAGGAAGTAAAGACCATACCTTTCTTTTTAAACAACAACATGAACAACGGGGAGAGAAAATCTAAAATAACGTTCACAAACTGAAGACCTAATGGCATCTTTTCTTGAAATGCTGCAAAAAAGCGAGGTACGTATTTTTCAAATTTGAGAAAAAAAGAATAGAAAAAGAGGTTAAAAAAGAAGAACGAGAAGAATAACAGGAATGAAAGCAACAGGACTTTTGATTTTAAAGTGGCCAGGATATTTCAACCACAAAAAAGAAAATACATGTGTACAATTTCAATGAAAAACTAAATCTTAAACATAGTTTTATAATTATTTTGCTCTTAACATCAATACTTATGACAGAACATCATAAAAATATCTAATCATAGTTCAGGTGGCATTGCTATTGGCTTTAAAAAATTACTTGTCTAAGAAAATTGTGTATCCCTTAAATACGAACTGTCCATTATTTTATTTAGGCTCAGAATGAATGGACAATCTCTAAACTTGCCACAAAATTTTGTATTTGGATTATATACAAACTGAGAACATAGTTTATGTTGTAAGTAATGCTATTTCAGAAATAAAGGTAGAGTTTCATAATTTTGTTAAAAGGTATGTTATCTTATTTGGCGATTTTAATCTTGATGATAGATTTTTCAATAATCTGTTTGATTATAATGAATTTTCAGATGAAGATAGGTTAGATAATTTTGATATTCCTAGACATCGCACTTCACCTGATATTATGTGAACTTATTTGGTCGAAAACAACAAGATGTTTATACTAAACGGACGATTACTTGGTAAACTAACTAGTAGAAATTTGATTTGATTTTTGATTTTTGGTATTTAACGCCACTTTTAAGCACCGCTTTTGGGCTATTTTGTGGCGGCCAGTTTTTATTGGTGGAAGAAGCCGGAGTGCTCGAAGAAAACCACCGACCTTCGATAGGAAAACTGACAATCCTAGTCAATTAAGATTTGAGTCGAGTGCACCCGCACGAGCGGGGTTCGAACTCACAACCTCAGTGTTGACTGGCTAGTGATTACAGTAGTAACTACTTAGACCACTCGGCCACCGAGGCCCTCAGTAGAAATTTGAATGTTGTTGATTATGTGATAAGTTCAGCAAATATAATTTTAAAAATTACAGATTATGACGCAAACTCGGAACCTTATTTAAATTTTAATCACGAGGAATCAAATGATTTCTTGAACAATAGTATTACTAAAGACGAAGTTATCAAAGCTATTAAGAATGTTTAAAATAACAAACCACACACTACGACCGTTGGAATACACACTGTACCATTAAAAAAAAAGAACAGTCTTGATTCAGGCCAATAAAGTTAAACGGAAATCATTTATGGCAGACATCAAATTAAAGGAAATAGTGAAAAGTTTTCGACCAATGGAATTGTATGATTTCTTGTTTCCTAACTTTGATTTATTCATTGTTGGTGGCTTTACGTTCAGTGGCAAATATTTCATGCATGTTCGAGACGAAAACAAACTAACATTGAATACAATAGGAAGTCATGTAATAGGCGCCATCCGGGATAGATGTCGGGAAAATTTGGTATGTAACTAGAAAATGAGGGTATATCGGATAAGGACAGAAATTGTGCCTTGCAACAGGCCACCCACAGACGTTCAGAGAGGTGTTGCAAGGGTTCTTAAAGTTCAAACACCGTGGCACTCTCTTAACATGAGGCTTCGGATTCACGTCTCCATTCTGGAAATAGAAATATAATCACTTAGGTCTTCTTCTGACCGACAGTAAAAGCCTTGCCAATGCGCCTGCTTGGCTGTGCTAGATGATACAGATGACCCTGAGTTTCCAATCCACTTCACTCCTAATACATTCTATGTGGTATTTTTCCTAGAATTTAAAATTCTGTCATTGTTCGTTATGCTATTGTGGTGTCTGTATTTCTTCGACTTAGAATGTTCAATTTCCTGGTATTTTCGTCATTTTCATACACCCAAGATAAGAAAAGATGGTGATTCTAGATAAAGGAATAATGCTCCCTGTTAATTTAAACATAAAAGAGGATTTAAATTACATTCCTTGAAAGACTGCAGTTATCAGATATGGCTTTTAAAGATGTTCTTATTCCTGGTCAAGTTATATGAGAAGGAAATAATACGGAATTTGAGAATTAGATATTGCATAGAATTGATGAACTGATTGTAAACCTTTCTTCAGGTTTGAATAACAAGTTTCATATATATTCTTATATGAATATGATGAAGAAAAGGGGTATCGGGTAACGGGACATTATTAAAGTTAAAATACTTCTCACGAATATGAACAAAAAACAATATATTCTTTTTCACATATCTGGTCGATAGTTATAGGGTTCATAACAAATGAGAATTGGACATCGTTTGATATCAACTTGAGTTATTTGATTCAATAAAATAATAAACGAGTCTTCGGCGAGTTTGTTATTGCTTTATAAATTAAATCGTGTTGTTAAATCCTTAGTTCTCTGTGTAGTATTTTATGTTCTTTTTGTCAACTTTTTGCTGTAGTCTGGTTTTGAGTTTTTTTAAGAATGAGTTTGATTTCCCTTGGCATCTTCTTGCCTCTTTATTTTGGAGTTTATATAGTGACAAATGGTGGTAACTATTTCATCAAATCAAAATACAGAAAACTAAAAGCCTGTATTAAAAGGGAAACTGTACCATCATTGACCACGTGATCTCTAAAAAGACCAGGATGAAAATATATACGACTTTATTAAATTAAGGTCTTTGCAGCAATTTCGCATCCTTTAAACAGCATATTACGGTAAAATGATATTCAACTAGTCTACAATATTGAAATTATGTTCAATATTCAGGAAGTTTTTGTAACTTTGAATATCAGACCTTACTAATATAGAAAAAGAACATTCCAATAATAAAACATAGTAAACAATATTCATTCAAGTTAAATGTATAAGGCTTATGTTGCAATGATGGTTGATGTTCGTGTACTTCCAGGCAACATAAAATAACAAATCCAAAATTTGCAAAAGGTAAGTTGACCGGGAAGTTGAAATTGCAAGAGGAAAAGGACCATTTTCGGATAAAGGCAACATATATTCGACTTACATAACGCTGCCTTTGGTTACTTCAAAGAGTTGCCGTAGTAGTTATTTTATGTTCATTAGCATTGTACACTCTCGACCCAATGCGTCAAGTTAACGTTCCCAACCATGTTCCACTTGTGACAACGATCGTGTTTTCATTGCAAATGTAAATGTGGTACTGGCATGTAAATACAGGTATTGTTTTAACTAAATTTGCTCTAATAATTTTTTTTTTATTAAGGAATGTTATCCCTAATGCATAGCTCTGATTTCTTGTCTGGATTTCTCTCTTTTTTTTGTCTTTTTGGTTTTATCATCTCTCAACGTTTGTATTAGAATTCAGAGGAGTAAAATAGCACCGTTATTGTTATTTGGTAACATGTAATCAAGGAAAAAAGTAAGAGATCATTGCCACATGTGAAAGTTACTTGGATTGTCCGAAACCTAAAACATACAAGGCAAGAGATATTGTAAACAACGAATTGCCATTATATCAGCGAGGAAAATACATCCAAATATGCCTTTTACACCAAAATTGTTAACAACATCTATAACCAACATACTTTTAATAAATATTGCTGTATATATCTCAAATCATTCGATTGGGTACCAATTCAAAATAATTTCCAACCGGAAAATGCCCATCGAGCTCTACCGTCGCTCATAAATAGTCCTTCGCCGGCACTTTTCGACCGAATAAAGACAAAATCACCAACACTGACCTTTTCGATGACAAAGGCGGTTGAACAATCGAGGTCGCTGGTGATTTCCGAATCAACATGACTAACCCCACGTCGCCGTCCATTAATAACCAGCTCAATTTCTATTTCACCATGATTATCAGCACAAATTGTCCAAGTAAAGGCATACACACCGGCTGATGGTGCACGGAATGTTCCTGTGACGTTGTCATATCCGTTTCCGATGTTGGTGTCGCTAACATCATAAACAACCTCATGGCCTTTCCCTAAGCTAGCAGCTGTAAATCCAGATGAAATATGCGCGGAAAAGGCTACATGGTTAGATTGGTCATTTTCTGGTAACAACAATCTTTTTCTGGGTAAAAGTCCTGTAAACAAATGGAAATGCATAAGCGCTAAATATTAAAAAAAAAGTTATATCAACTGAAAGGATTTAGGAATACATACCGGCATCTATAGTTGGGTTTTTGGTACCAGGACTTTTCTGGCGTGATGTTGATATTAATTAATTTATAAACATTTTGAGCAACTTGTTCAACAATTTTGTTTACACCAGACGCGGGTTTCGTCTACTAAAAAACTCATCAGTGGCGTTCTACAAAGCATTTTAAGAGCATTGAGGACTCAAAAGTCCTAAAGGTTTTGCGGAATACAGCTAAGGTAACCTTTTCCTGGGGTGGAAATCTTTGATTTGTTTTTATTAGTCAATAAATGTAACATATACTTTATCGTATAATGAGCTTACAATTAAATATGCTACATACCAAAAGACTTCAACGATGAGACACACGTTTTATGACTTTCCTCCAAGTTTTCAACCTGTATTTTCAAGCGGTGCAATTCATCTTGCAAGTTTTTCACAACTGATGTGAAATCCAAATCATACGTATTTGATTGAGCTGTCACCAAGCTGATCAATATGATTATATTGAATATGGACATAGTATCAACACTAGACATAGATAATATAATTGACAATTTCTAATCAGATATCATGGGAAGAAACAGCTTGGTCTTTAGATTATACCTTAAACAGTCACGTGTTTATGCGGTCGTAGGTCAAAAGTATTGCACCTATCAATAGTTCCACTATCATTTCATATACAAACATCTTTTTTAAAGCATTGCCAAAATTTAATTAAAATTTTAAAGTCTCACAAATGTGTAAAGTTTGTATGGCATTTGTTATCAGACAGTGCGTTTCTATGTATGGTGGCGTTTGCTTTTGTTGTAGTTCAGTGTTTCTGTTGTCCCGATGTTTTCCTCTTATGGTTGAGGTGTTTCACCCGGTCTACGTTTGTTGTCCGGATTTGTTTTTGCTTAATCGAATCATGACTATTGAACAGCGATATACTGCTGTTTCCCTTATCATGAAATATTTTTATGAAATGTAATTATGGAAAAATCATCAATTAATATACAAATATTGAAATACATTTTGTACAGTGAAAATTTCCCCCTACATATCTATATGATTTTCTTTTTCTTCTTCTTCTGGTTCCTACATAAAAGGTTTAAAATTTACTGGACTACGCAGAGTGACATTACAAATCTAGTCCCCTAAGGCTATATACAGTATTTACAATCAAATCAGATTGATACGGTTAAAATTATGTACAATCATTGAGTCTGGTATAAATGTGTTGTCTGTAGCCCTGAGCGGAAATCCTCAACTGATCCTGCTTCAGTAAACTTGGCAGGTAAAGTATTCCATTCCATGAATGTTCTTGTAAAGAAGGAGTTCCTGTAGACATCACTGGGGATCCTCTGTTGGTAAAACTTGTGTCTACCACGAGTTCTACTGTCGCCACCTTTGGGGTAATTACTCTTGTTGATATCTATCAGCTCATTCTGATAGAGCATGCATAGCCTGTTATCACGCTTTTGTCTGTAATGTGTCCCATTTTAGCTCTTCTAGCGATGTAATGACATATCCTGATGTACAAGATGTGTAGTCATTATAGACAAATGCAGCAGTACTCCTCTGAATAAGTTCTAGTGTGTTAATGTTTGCTTGATTGGTTGGGTCCCATAAAGTAGAAGCATACTCTATGACAGGTCGTACTAGAGTTGTATAGCCAGCGAATTTACTTTCCTTTTTACACTCTTTTAGGTTCCGTATTTTTAGACTAAACCCTTTACTGTAACGTTCAGTACATGTTTATTCCATGAGACACTGTTCGATATTAACACTCTCAAGTACTTGACACTAGCTACTGGTTCGAGTGTGTGGCCATGTAAGCTGTATGGATATTGGAAAGGGTCTTTGTTCTTTGGTGGTATGCGGATAACGTTGCATTTTTTTGGTTTAAATCTTATCCACCATGTTTTTCCCAATTTTCGAAGGCTGGAAGGTCTTTCTGCAGTTGGTGTGTATCTTTGGTGTTCCCTGTACAATAGACTGTTATCAGCAAAGGGGCGGACATCCGATTGGGTATAACCATTGTCATTGATGTTTGTTAGGAACAGTAAAGGATCCAGCACTGTGCCCCTCCTGACAGAACACCGTCTTATTGTGATCTAGCCCCTATTGTTTCCTGTTTGATAGGAATGAACTGATCCAGGAGTTTAGTTTGTGAATCTCAATTATTTCAACAGGAATATTATTATTAAAATAAAATACACTAACTACTTACATTAAAATATTTTTATCAGGATATCGGAAAAGTCTTTACATTCAATTAGAATATGATTGACAGAAATGTACATCAATCACAAAACAGACGACTGGTGTTAACTGTTACAGTTATTTAAAGGTATAATTCACGGCATCTACTATTCCACTTTCTTTAAAACCATTGAAGACAAGTACCTTCTTCCTACGAATATTATCGTTCATTTTCGTAATCCATTTTGCACCAAGTGGTTTCATAACCGCAAGTGAAAGATTTACCTTAGCTGTATTTGGCAAAACTTTTAGGAATTTTTGGTCCTCAATGCTCTTCAACTTTGTAATCTATTTGGCCTTTTAAACATTTTTTGATTCGAGCGTCACTGATGAGTCTTTTTTAGACGAAACGCGCCTCTGGCGTAAATATAAAATTTTGATCCTGGTATATATGATGAGTTTATTTGCAACCACTGGGTCGATGCCACTGCTGGTGGAGATTTATTTCCCCGAGGGTATCACCAGCCCAGTAGTCAGCACTTCTGTGTTGACTTGAGTGTTCATTGATATGTTCATAATTATAAATTAACTGTTAACACAACTTTGAAGTTTTGAAAAACTAAGGCTTTTCTACCTCAGGAATAGATTACCTTACCTGTATTTGGCAAAACTTTTAGGAATTTTTGGTCCTCAATGCTCTTCAACTTTGTACTCTATTTGGCCTTTTAAACATTTTTTGATTCGAGCGTCAATGATGAGTCTTTTTTAGACGAAACGCGCGTCTGGCGTAAATATAAAATTTTGATCCTGGTATCTATGATGAGTTTATTCACTTTTACGTGTTCAATGTCGAGGTTTTCAGCTACCTCCTTGGTAATCTGATTGGTATACCAGGTTTCAAATTCACTTTTCATAAAGTGTTTTAACACTGTTATTGACACTGAGATCCATAGGTTGTAGTAGATCTGTACAGTTTGGAGGGATTGTTAAGCAATCAAAGATAAGAATGGCTATTTGATGAAGTTGCAAGTCATTGCAATCAATAACCTTATTGACATACCGTTTTATGACCGTGTCTATGTAGTCAAACATCGTACCTACATTTGCCCAGTGATTTTCAGACTCGATAATATGGAAAGTCTTAGGGAATTTAAATTTAGGATGACATTGCGAAGTTTTCCCTTGGTATACGAGTTGTATTGGAAGAAATGAACCATTTAGAGCACCAGCCAAGGTTGCTAAAAATAATGATAACGCAGTTTAGAATCAATAGAACAGAAAAGTCTTTATACAGTTAGCGTGTATTTTTTTATATGTTACATTGATTCATGCTAAATGTGGCATACGGTGTATAGTAAAATGTGTACCGATATATTTTTTACTTATTTGATATTTTAAATTATGATAATATCAACGTGTATAACAAATTGAAATGATAGCTTATCTTTGAGTTTTTATTGACAATATATTTAAATAAATTTAATGACTATAACACTTGACAATTACATTGATTGCTCTTTTACCGACAGATGTGATTAACCATAATTGTAATAAAAACATGGGATTATAATTACGTAATATTATCTATGATAGTAGTCATTCTAATAACAAACAATTCATTATACATGTATTTACACACTACCTGTGATCTGACGTTTGTCATCTATGCCTGATATTTCAATACGCTCTGACCCCTCTTCAGCAATAGTCCATTGAGATACTGGAACGACATGCAATCCAGTCTGATCCCAGTTTATAAGTTCTGCTGGAACAGTATGTTGTTCTGCACGTTCTTTGATTTTATTTAGAAATTTCTCCTTTTCAAACTCAAAGTTCTCAATTTTATCGGCCTTTTTTTAAATTGTCCCCTTACGTTTTACAAACTAAGTCCATTCTTTTTTACAGAGAAAAAGCTCAGTCCCGAGTAATGGAAATATGTCCACCGTTTTCAACAAGCAAAGATCAATCCTTGGACAAGACAAGGCCTTTTGTAGCTGCTCGAACAATTGCAGTGTTAATTACGCCACCGGATTTAAGAACTGTTCTTATGTATCTTTGGATTTTATCGTCTAGTTCATCTCCCATTATACCCCCAAGGGTGACTGGCGAATAGAAGTATGGTCACCATTGGTCTTCCTCCGACCGGCAGTAAAACCCGTGCTAAAGTGGGGCGTCCGTTTGGCTGTGCGGGATGTACAAATTTGCAGCCACGTCCGGTCAGAATGGGGACGTTAAATCCGATGCCTCGTGTGAAGAAAGTGCCACGTTCTTTGCACGTTAAGAACCCTTGCAACAACTCTTTGAGGGGTCCGTAGGTGACCTGTTGCAAGGCTAAATTTCTGTCCCTATCCAATATACCCTCATTTCCCGTGGCAGTCTAAATTTCTCCGACCTCAATCCCTTAATCTATTACAGAACCTACCTATTGTATTTATTGTTAACTTGTTCTCGTCCTGAATATGCATGAAATATTTGCCACTGGATGTTAAGCAACCAACAATCAATCAATCAAATCTCCCATTATAAGTTTTCGGCCACGTCTTTTGGGTGTTTATTCCATAATTTCAGACACTTCATCACTTTCAGAGCTGTCATCATAAGTCAATATACGTTTTCGTGTACTAAGTTCTTTTAAATACTCCTTTTTAAAACCGCGTACTGTGCTTTCGTTAATTTTTCTCGACAGTAACGGCGAAAACTTCCTAACCGTAGCACTAGAGCTATTTTCGGCAGCATATTTAACCATTTCTAGTTTTTGACTTGGGCTATATGTAGCATATTTCCCACAACTCGAAGGCTAAGGGTTTTCCAATAGCTTTTGCACATCTTCATTGGCAGCTTCAAATTCTTCCCTTTGCGGTAGTTTGGTTTTTTTCAGTAACTAGATATTAAAGCAAAGACATTTTGACAAACCTGATCAACACACACCACTGACTATATACGAGTATTGTAATTATTTTTACCTTTAGTATTTTTGAACAATGTTCACATACTTGTATTTTCATTATTTACTTACCTGCATGAACGTATATGGAATTTTTAAAGAGAGACAACTCCGACACATTAAGTGAAATTTTCGAGAATTTATAGCTGCCGCGAACAAAGCGAAAATTAAACATACGCGAAAAAAAACCCGATATACGGTATCAAATAACTTGAGAAAAACATCATATCTTTTTTCTAATTTTAATTTTGCCTCCATTTGCATTTTTCTTTAACTAAAGGGTTAGACAAAAACAAAAAATCGAAATACAAAGTATGCCAAAATGAAATGGTTTTAATATTTCCAACTTAACATTTAGTATTAGGAATGTTGAAGGATTAATATCCAAATCCTATAACAGTCTTCATG